GACTCGACGGCACATAACAACAACAACAACATACAGCCTTAGAATGTGCCATCAGTAAGTATTTATCTTACTGAATATAAATATTAATGCACCAGCATCTCTCTCCGTCTAGCTTGGTCATTGCCGGGGAGTCAGGACTGATTGGATAGCTGACTGTCCAGCAGGATTTCAGGAGGCTGAAAATCACATGGGAGTAGATGGCCCAACAGGCAGAGAGGTGCCACTGTCGGGTTAGCCTGCAGCTTCCTACAGACTATGCCACTACAGCTACCCTGTTTAAGCACAACTGCATTTCATCCTTGCACTTTTTGTGGCCTTGAGGTCACATATGAGCCCTGGTGGCAAAGTGGTTAAGCACACAACAAATCAAATGGATAGGAGTTTGAACCCACCAGCTACTTTGCAAGAGAAAGATGTACCAATGTTTCCATAATGATTTACCGTTTTAGGAACCCTCTCTTATTGTTATGTGCCATTGAGTTGGACTAACTTACAGCTGACCCTCCAGCAGGGTTTTAGGGCTGTAATTTGCACAGATTTCCCACCTTTCTCCTATGGATGAAATAGAACCCCTGCCTTTGGGTTGGCAGCACAGCTCCTTACTACTAAGCCACCAGAGTTCTCTCAGGAATCTATAGGGGAGAACTATTCTGTCCATTAATGTCTAAGTTGGAAGCACAGGGATTGTTTGTAACTTCCCACCCCCAGTTACTAATTTGTAACATTTTTACCTGCAAAAATCAGATGGAAAAACATAAAGGTTTTCCTCTTGGCTTACTAATGGGTGAAAAGAATCTCCATCTGTTCCATTAATCATATTGCACTCCTTTGTTCTCCACCAGTCAAGTGACCTGCAAGTAAGAAGCACAAGAAAAGATATAGATGATCCAATTTGCTTCTGTAGTTACTTAGTTGTTATGTTGTCGACTCAACTATGATTCACAATGCCCCTCTGAACAACAGATCTGAACCTTGCCCAGTCCTGTGTCAACCTCCCGATCTCTGATACGTAAGATGCCAATCTATCTTGTCGACAGTTTTCCTCTTTCTCTCACCTGCCACCTTTGCCAGTATTGTGCCTTTCCCCCCAACACTGGCCTCTCCTGATAACATCCCTGATGTTTGTGAGATAGAGTTTCACCATTCGTGCCTCTGAGGAGCACCCTGGTTCTACTTGCCCCAAGACAGACTTGTTGGTAGTCCATGGGATTTTCATTACTCTTTGCTGGCATGCCCCAAAAACCCAACATCAATTCTTCTTTTGTCAAACATATTCACTGACCAACTTTCAGATACATAGGCAGCAAAGGAAAATACTGTGCTTTGAGTCTGAAACACTTTGGTCTCTAAACTTACATTGTTAATCTGTAGTATTTGGAGAGGCCTTTGACAGCACATTTTCCCAATGTAACATGTCTTTGGATTTCTTGACTGCTGCTGCAATTGCGGATGCAAGTAAAATAAAATTGCTGTCAACGTCAATTATTTCTTTATCTATCCTGATAACTGCCTATTTGTTCAGGGGTAAGGATTTTTGTTTTCTTTGATGTTGAGATATAGTCTATACTGAAGACTGTATTTTTTAATCTTACGCAGAAAGTGCTTCAAATCCTCTTCACTTTTTGCAAGTAAAGTGTCAGCCTTATAATGCAGGTTGTTAAAGAGTATGCCTCCAATACTGATGCCACATTCTTCTTCACAGAATTCAGCTTCTTCAATGATTTGCTGAGCATGCAGATTTACCAGTTTTGGAGAAACTATACAACCCTGATGCATATCTTCAGCTCCTGGTCTATGCATAGCTTTCTCAGGAGCACAATTAAAGAGTTTTAGGATTCCCATTCTTCACAATAATTTCAATAATTTGTTATGATCCACACAATTTAGTTTTAGAGTTTCCTAATAGTCAGGACTTGTTAAGACTTACCTGGGAGCTGGCTATTATGCATATTTAATATAAGGGTAATCTTGGTTAAGATTCTGACTGGAAGAGATCTATATTTGTTCCCATTCCAAAGAAAGGTGACCCAAC